AGAAAAAGGTTTATTTTGGCCAACAGTTTTGGAGGTTTCAGCCCATGATCAATTGCCCCTGTTGCTTTGGGGCCTGTGGCAAAGCAGCACATCACAGTTTAGCAGAACCACTCACCTCATGGCCAGGAGTGAAAAAGACGAAGCGGAAGGGGCTAGGGTCCTTCTGTCCCCTTCAGGGGCATTCCCCAATGACCACAAGGCCTCCTACTAGGCCTGATCTCTTGAAGTTTCTACCACCTCTTGATAGTGCCTAACTGAGGACCAAGCCTTGAACACATGGGCCTTTGGGGAATAGTCTACATCTAACCTATAGCACTGTTAAAAACAGAGTTTAGGTGATGAAGGATTTAGGGAGGAGTAAATTAGGTGATGAAGGATTTAGGGAGGAGTAAATTAGGTGATGAAGGATTTAGGGAGGAGATTTCTTAAAGAAACCGGTTAGTGAAATTGTGATTAATTAACAATATATATTTTTCCCATCAATATTCATTATAGTGAAAGTTTGGTAAACAGGAAACAATATTTGTAAGCTTCTTAAAGGAAAAAAAATTAAAAAGTTATGCATGAAGAGTTAGGAATCAGAATAATTTAGCAACAGAAGCTGGTCAGAATGAACTCCTTAAAACAGTGTAATAAGGGGCTGGGGATGTGGCTCAAGTGGTAACGCGCTTGCCTGGCATGCGCGGGCGCTGAGTTCAATCCTCAGCACCACATAAAATAAAATAAAGATATTGTGTCCACCAAAAACTGAAAAATAAATATTAAAAAATTCTCTCTCTCTCTCTCTTCTCTCTCTCTCTCTCTCTCTCTCTCTCTCTCAAAAAAATCTGTATTTCCTTTTAAAAAAAAGAGTGTAATAATATCTTAACAACTTTGAAAGAAAACAATTTCCAAACTAGAATTCTATACACAAATATCATCAAAGGAAAGCAAAGATCAGGATATTTTTAGACCTGCAAATATCAAAATTTTTCTTGGGCTGGGATGTAATTCAGTGGTGGAATACTTGCTTGGCAAGCACAGGGCTCTGGGTTAAATCTCCTGAAACCCTTCCTCCTGCAAACATATCTTCCAGGTGCTATTTCTGGATGTGAGCCAACAAAATTAGGGTATAAATCATAGAAAAGAAAGACACAGGAAATAAGCCAAGGATAAAGGAATTCACAAAATGATGGTAAAGGGTTATGGCCATATGACACCCATGCCCCACTGTACCTAAAGTCCTGGCTTCAGGATTGTGACTCAAGAGATAGACCCATGGAGGAGTGTTGTTACCAAGATATGTCCCCCTCATGCATTGTCTTTCTATTTTGAATCTGCCTGGCCCAGGTTCTTGGCAATCCCTGGTCAGCCATGGCCACGCACTGTTGAAGTTCCTGCCTCTCAGTGACCTGTCAAAGGAATCATCTGAGAACTTCCCTTTTATCCCAGAGTTCTTCCTTGATGTAGCCTGAGAATTGGAGTTGGCCACAATGCACTAGGAGCAGAGAACACAAAGCAACCTATTGTCCTGGCAGGATTTCTATTAGAGGCTGCTACCTGGCCCAAAAGATAGACAGGTTGAGAATCCAACCATGCACCTTATATCACAGTCTGACCTGCTAACTTCCACACATGGTTCTCATAATACTCGTGGAAGCTGAAGCCAAACTAGCTCAGAGAAACTGTTCCCACCAATTATTTTGCTAGGGACTTACCTCTGACAGTGGCAATACCATTTCTTTTCTTGAATGGCTAAGGATGTGCTTGCTTCTAAATATTTTTCACCAATCCCTTTCACAGTCATTTACATGTAAAAAGTAATTAATAAAATAACACATTTGACAAAATAGATGAAAAAGAAAAAGGAATAACTATGCTAACAAAAGCTACTAGAAACCCAGAGACAGATTTATAGAATAATACATACATTGAAATTTAAATAATGTACATAGTTATATTAAAACTATAAAAGTATCAAAGTGTAGCCTGATTTTCTAAAATTAATAGCCTTTAAGAGCGGGAGACAAGGCATAGTGGCGCCCACCTAGAATCCCAGCATGTTGGAAGGCTGAGGCAGGAGGATTGCAAGTTCTAAGCTAGCCTCAGCAATTTAGCAAGACCCTAAGCAACTTAGTGAGATCCTGTCTCAAAAAATAAATAAATAAATAAAAAGGTGTAGGGATGTAGCTCCATGGTAAAGTGCCCCTGAGTTCAATCTCAAGTACAAAAAAAAATGTGAGGAACATGATAGATTTATTTTAATATTCTTTAAATTTGTGGTTATATCATCTTTGCAATAGAAAAAATACAAGTACAGATACATCCTGTATCTTTATAAATGGCCATAATAGTTGTCAAAAATGCTCTAGCAAACCCTTCTAAGATGTTCCCAAATGGCCTTGCCATAACATGCATTTAATACACATTTATACCTACTATCTCCATGCCCACCCCCCATCATTCCACTGATGAAGCATTCCTCAAGGTATAATACACATTCCAGTGGTTAATTTTCAGTCCTTACTATGTATGGATGATCAATATTACTTTGCACAAGTGACTGCTCCTTTATACTTCAATGCTTATCTGTAAATATTTCCATATGTAGCTCTAAAATATAACATTAAATAATAACAATGCTTTGATATTAACATTTCTGTCATGTGTTGACATCTAACCACCAAGGTGATGGTATTAGGAGGATCTGCCTTTGGGAGATGACTAGGTCAGGAGGGCTCCATTCTCATGAATGGGATTAGTATCCTTATAAAAGAGGCTTGGAGGAAGCTGCCTTCCACAATGTGAGGACACAGAGAAGATGCCACCTCTGAGGAATGGGGCACTCACCAGATATTGGATTTGCTGGAGTTTTGCTATTGGGCTTCCTTCCCAGCCTCCAGAACTATAAGAAATAAATTTCTGATCTTTGTAAATTATTCAGTCTAACACATTTTGTTATAACAACACAAATGGAGATAGACAAACAACATAAAATATAATTAGAATGTCTAATATAATGAACAACATTTTCTTAATATCATCAAATATCTAGTCAGCATTTCAATTTCCAATTGCCTAGTAAGTATTATAATTACTTTCAGTATGTTCATGGAGTCAGGCTATAAATATAGTCTACACACTATTTGAAGCTTCTGTCATCTCTTAACTTGGATTATTGAAATTGCTACCTAATGGATTTATCTATTTCTATCTATTCTTTCTTCCTTCTAGTTGTGATTCATAGAAAGCAACTAGAGCAATGCTTTTCAAATAGAATTCAGATCATGTAACTATTCTGCCAACTCCTGTATGTCTCAGGTTAAAAGCCTTTACAACAACAGACTATAGGATCCTCTATGATCTGCCCACCTCAACACCCTGAAACTGGCTCTTATCTCCCTTCCTCTCTCTCCCATCCCATATCATCCTAGACAAACCACCCATTTCGCTTTTCTTCAGAAATGTTAAGCAAATGTGGATCTCAGAACATCATTCTTGCTCTTCCCTGGAACATCCTTCTACCATCTATCCATGTGCCATGCTACCTTTACTTCCTTCATATTTCTGCCCAAATGTCTTTTTATTAATGTAAAAATAATTACTTTCCCTGAACTCCCCTGCTCCAACACATACCTTTGTTCTTTCTTCATAACACTCACCATCTTCTGACATATAACTTGCTTATTTTTTACCTGTCTTATTTTAATATTAGATTGTAAATTCAAGAAGCTAACTTGCTCATTGCTATATCCTAGTGCCTCTAGCATGATGTTGGTATTCAGTAAATATTAGCTGAATGAATAGATGGAAGAATATAAGAATACATGCATTAGAATCATAGGAAAGGTGGCTCTTCAGATGTTGCTGCATTGTATTTTGAAAGCTTTAAAGGAAAGAAAAGAAATAACGTTTTTAGAGATCATAGAGAATGAAATTAGAGCTAGGAGATTTTTCTTTATGTGTGATGTTAGAGATTTTCTTTCTCATAGATTGTAGCTAGAGATGGATGTCAAACAAACGGTATTGGAGCTGAAGGTGTTCCTCAATGTCATTTGCTTTATCTCTGCAAGTTCTTGCAAGATGTTTTTTTAAAATGGACTACCAAAGGGGTAGGAACCTCATCTAACTCACCTAAACCATAGGAAGCTAACAAGTTGTTGATAAACAGACAACATCTCCTTCCCATAAAAAATTGTGAAGACTGAAAAATTTGATTCGATAGCAATTGGACTAAATGGGATTGAAGATTGTAATTAGAGGGAAGGGAGCATACAGAAAGGTCTCTTATTCCACTGACATCTTGAAAAACTTCCCTAACAGGAGCTATTCCTTCCTATCCTTAGTTCATTTTATTGTTTTAAATGAAGGTCCATGCATGAAGGAATAAGAGGCATTTTTTAAATTCTCTGTGATCTCTAAAAATGTCTTCACTTGAGGTAGAAATAACAGGTGCTGAAATACATTTGCATCTGTAGAAGTTCAAGCTTCCATATCCAGTGTAGCTACAAAAAATGAGCGTGAACTTCCTTCAAAGCACCATGAGGGAGACAAAAGGTGTGAGGTGAGAAGAGATATAGAAGGGATAAAGTAACGCCTACTTTTCTTACTTGGTATTTACCCATTTATCTTCCCTCTAAAGAAGTATACACCCACATACAAAAACCTGTAGGAGAAACAAATTTCAATATCCTCCTTGTGAAAAAAGCAAAATGTTACAGAGACATTGTGATGCAATGGGGACCATCTGAAGGACACTGCTAACATTATGAGGTCAGGAAGTTTTGCAGAAATGTTTGCCTGTAGGAAACGCGTTAGACCTAAGCCAGCCTTCCTCCCTACTAACATCCTATGGTAACTCTTACTCCTATCCATAGGCTGGAATTTTGAGATCAAAAGAATGAGACTTAGAGCAAAAATTGAGACAGCAGAGCAGCACTGCAGGAAACGGAAGGTTTTTCACATTGGCAAATAAAACAACTTTTTATTTCTCTACAGAAATAAAAGATTCCCTGTGTCCATATGGATATCAGAGACAAAAAGCATTTCAGCCCTGCAGTTTTGATTAACAATTTCAGAATAGCCGTGAATGGGTTTCAAAAATTGGTTGAAGAGACAGCACTCCAGAAAAAAGGTGAAAGAGCAGGCTTGTTTTTCCCAAAAGAAGGTAAGAACAGTGATTACAGGGAAGTAGAGTTGGGGAGGTTGATTAGAACTGGGAAGTGTTTGAAGCCATCAGAGAAAACCAGTGTAGCTTAATAGCAAGGACACCAAATGTGGGTCCTGAAGATCTGAGTTCTTGTTCTTTCTTTGTCTCTAAATAGCTAATTTGACTTGGGGAGATGTTTTTCCCAATTCTCTGAATCTTCATTGTCTCAATTTTAAAGTTAGAGGATTGGATTAAATGACATCTCGGGGTTCTTTTGTAGGCACTACGATTTGATTGCTCACTGGTTGACCTGGGGTTCACAGTAGTTAGTGTATAGTGACCATGTGGAAAGCCTTATGTGCTGCTGTGTTAGCTTTCTGTCACTCTAACAAAATACCTGAGATGATCAGCATAAAAGGAGGAAAGGTTTATTTTTATTTTACAGCCAAAACCCAATTATTTTATTTTTGGCTAAGAGTTTCAGAGGTTTCAATCCATGGCCAAATGGTCTGTTGCTTTGGGGCACACCATATGGGGAACACATAATAGAGGAAGCTGTTTGCCTCTAGGCAACCAGAAGGTAAAGAAAGAGAGAGAAAGGAAGTTGGCTGTGGTCCCAAAATCCCCTTCAAGGGCATATCCCAATGATCTAACTTCCTCCCACGAGGTCCCACCTCTTAGAGATTTCATTACTTCGCAATAACTCCACAGGCTGTTGACCAAGTTTTTAACACATGGGGCCTTGGGGGGCACTATTCAAATCACAGCAGCCATCCTTCTATATCTATGGTTATCATGATACCATAAGGACTTTTGGAAGCAATACAAAGTGTCCTGTTTCACTATCTTTCCATTGTCTGGGACAGTCCTCATGTCTCTAGGCAGGCATGATTTGAGCATGCTAAGATAAGGTGAATGTAGTGGACAGTGGTCTGCCAAGAGTATGACTGGCAGAGAACCCAATGCAGAGCCATGGCCATGTTCAAGGGGATTAGTATAGTATGCATTTGGGGGGCCCAAGGACAGTCATAAAGAGTAAGGCTGAATAGCACAGTCAAAACCCAATAGAACAAACGCTCTTATTGAAATAAAAGGAACAAGGGTCAAATAATTGCTAAAGGGACAATGTGACCTGCCTTATGTGTGCCAGGTTACTTAATCATATGTAAGTAAAAAATATTCATTTTGGGTGTTTGTACCCAAACCAGTATTATTTGAATAGCATTTAATAATTTATGTTATTTTAATAAGTATGATTTAATATGATTTGCATGGCAATCTGAATAGACAAAGATTACTAACATGTCCATTTTATTTCTGAAAAGACAGGAGGTAGAGATGAGTCACCTGCCTAAGTCACTCAACTTTTAAGTATTAGAGCTAGGTGGTGTAAGTCCTGTTAGATATGCACTTTGGGTAGTTTTGTACTTGGCGAGGCTTTCTAAACATCTCAATAAAACTTAATTTCCCCCAGTCAGTTTATTTCGTTCTCTGTAATTGATTTTCCAAATTCTTACCATCTTTTCTGAAATCTTCTATGGGATCTCTGCCCCTCCCAGCCAAGTTTCCTATATTATATGGGAAAGCATGGCCCAAAGACATGAAGTCTCTCAAATTCCCTTTCTTCCACTTTCAAAGTACCTAAAGCAGCACCTGTCCTCCCTCCACCCTTCCAAGGCGGTCACTTTGCTACAACAGCCTCAAAAATCTCCTTTCACTGGCTTTGTCCTCTCAATCTAAAAATATACTCAAGCGCCCTGACCTTGACTTTCTCTTCCCTTTAGCTACCACTGTATATCTCTCCTTTGCTTCTCCACTAAATTTCCTTACAGCATTACCACTTCATTGTCAACCTTCTCCAGCCTGGCTTTCCTCATCACTTTGCTGAAAATGCTCTTACTAAGGTATTTGAGAACCTAACACAGTTGCCAAATTCAATAAATTGTTTTCCCCTTTGCAGCCCACTTAGCCATTTTGCTGCATTGACACTGTTAGCCGCCTCTGCTTCAAGAAATGCCCTCCCACTACATCTTTTGTCATAATACTCTCTTCTGATTTTTCTCCTTTTCATTTTTTTCTGTGCCTCTTTTTCTCCTTGAGCTTTGCCTACTGTGTTCTCACTGGGTGTTATGGTATAAACATCATTTGCCATGCCAGTTTATCTGGTATAACCTTTGACTGGGTCATAGTATTTTTCTCTTGGGTTATTACAACAGCCTATTAATAGTCTTCTTGACGAGAGTGATTCCTTCCTCTATACTTTTCAAAAAGCTTTTCCTTTTACAAAATTAGATCTGCCATATTCCTGGCTTATTAGCTGACCTCTGAAATCCATGTATGTTAACTTGGCATGCAGGCCCATTAACAATCATGCCTCAACTTACCTTTCTAGTCTCTGTTCCTGGCACTTTCTTTCTGCACCTTCTGCCCTATCATAAACTTTTTAGCATTTCTAAGTATGTCAGACTCTTAATCATTGATTTTGCTGCATCATTCCCCCAATGTACAATTCCTTTCCTCCTTTTCCTTTTCTTTCTTTTTCTTTGATACCTGTAAAGTCCTGTTCATCTTTTAAGATCCAAATAAAATATCACTTCTTTGCAAAAAGTCCCAAACTTCCCCTAAGGAAAGGCATCTTCAGACTGCTAATGCACTTATTGCTGTCTTAAGGAATTTACCTGATGTATTTAGCCTGCTGAAATATATATATATATATATATATATATATATATATATATATATATATATATATATATATATATATTCCTGTCCCTTTTCCCCCACCATTGACCTATGAGTGTTTTGAAGGTTTTGCAACCCTAAGGCGAGCACAGTCTGATGTCCAGGAGGTTCTCCTTAAATGTGTGCTTCACAAATAAGTTAACCTTGCATCCACTGAGAGGCTTGTAATCACAAACCTGCATTGAATATGTCCTCCCTATATAGTTTTTTAAGATTAGATAAAGAGTAATTACTGCTAGACAAATGACTGTGACCAATGACTACTGTAACTGAGGCACCGGTCTGAAAGATTGAGAAGGAAAAGTATAATTGTAACTTATATCAGGCTGCTAATACTGTCTGAAATAAATTCATATTCATTAATAATCATTAGAAAATTAGGCCTACTGTTTACTATAGGCAAGAAGCTAAGAATGAGAGAATGTTTTTAATGGAATAGTTGTCTATCTCAAAATTGATATTAGGTAGACTGCAGTAATTTGTCCCAGCAATATTGCTCTTAAATCTTGCCAATGACAATGATAGAATCCAAAACAAACCAGGACTGGAAAATCTGATCAAACTTATTACATGACATTTACAAGGAAACACATATATTGTTCTAGTTAGTGTGAATTTAAAATAACTAAATAACTATTTGTGTGTCTCAGAGTAATTTCAAGTTTAATATGACCAAAATGGAATATTTTATTTTTCCCAAGGAGTGTAGTCCTTTCCCAATTACTCCTGTTTTGGTAAATAGTACCAACATTTGCTGAGTTCTGAAACCAGAAACCTGAATGCCATTCTAGAACAAGTTTCTCAACCTTAGCACTATTGACCTTTTGGTCAAATAATTTTTTTTTTCTGTATACATGTACGTGAAGGTGGCATTGGGCTGTCCTATGCATTATAGGATGTTTAGCAGCATCCCTGGACTCTATTCACTAAATGCCAGTAGCACACCCACCTCTAGTTTTGACAATCAGAAATGTCTCCAGACATTACCAAATGGCTTTTGCACAGGTTTGCATGTGCATGGGTGTGTTGTGTATGTGTGTTGTGTATATATGTATATGCATGTGTTTGGGGGTGGGAGTGGTCATAATATCTTCTCTGGACAAGAATCTGTGCTCTCAACTCCTGCCTTTCCTTCACTCACCACTTTTGTTTACATCAATTTTTATTCCATTGTAAGTCCTTGTAATTCTACTTCCAAATATATCTTACCATGTCCAATGGGATCTATAGGGTACTCATATCACTTATCCTCCAACTAGGAACACTTTCAAGAGCAAAAGAGAAAGAGTGTGTTATTGATAATTAAGTTGAGAAGTATAAGTGAGACTCTCTATAGCAGTGAGACATGTACAGTCAACTGCAGTATCATCATGGCCCAAGCCTCTGAAGCCCTGGGTTCGATCCTCAGCACCACATATTTTTATGTGGTTATAAAAAGTTATAAAAATAAAATAAAATTTAAATTAAAAAAAAGTTAAAAATTAAGTCAGATTATCCTTTCCCTCTGTGAAACCCTCCAGTGTAGCCTACCATAGTGCTTAGGATAAAAGACCAACTCTGACCCTAGTTTAACCCTCCTGCGTGTCTGGTCTTAGCTCATAGCACTTTCCCAGTACCCACTAAACTATACTTACTCACCTTCCCAGAACACACAGAGTTCTTTCCAACCAAGGCTTTGTGTTTATCAGCCTTTGTCTAAATATTCTTGTCTTCTTTACAAATGACTGACTCCTTTTTTCTTAGCTTGATATTAAATTTTCCTTAGTTTAATAGTCTTATCTTCCTCCTTAAAGAAGCCTTCCCCGAGGTCCCCAACATCATATAATTCTATCACAGTTTCCCATTGATTGCTTTCATCCCACTTATCTCATTCTATAATGCCATTTAGTTTTACTTTGCACTGAGGTTGACATACCCATAAAGTCAACAATCCACAAAGTGCAATTATAAGCTTAAGTGTGGAGCTTCATAAATTTGAACATTGGTCATCGTACCTATAGCACCAACCAGACAAAGACAAAGAACATTTATAATCTCCCAGCAAGTTCCCTCATGCCTTTTTCCAGCAATACTACTTCCTACCTTATGAATAAATAACCGCTAACTTAATGTCTGTCTCTATTAATGAGCCTTGCCTGTCACCATCTGTGAATTGTTTGTTCACTTTTTCATTTTCTGATCCTCTGCCTAGAATATAAGCCCCTTGAGAGCAGGAATCCTGCTTGCTGAGTTTTCATTCTAAGTCACATGTCTAGCTCAGTTTTGACACACAATTCTCAATATAGTTGTGTGAACTAAATAAAAGAATCTGATCTCTGTGTACAGTTCGATAAATCATTGCATCTAACTCTTTTGTGACCTTAGAGTCAACAGTCTTACTGAAACAGACCTCCTATGGAATTGTTTTAGCATCGTGAACTTCCTCAAGCCAAGAAGGAAATTGAGAACGTTTCCCCTGGCCCAGGAAGGCACTAAGGAAGCTGAAGCTGTGACCCATTCTCTAACTAGAATAGCCTAGTTAAACCTACATATGTGTATCTCCTGGCTTTTGTTTCTATAAATTGTTACTCCTTTTGTAAGACTGAAGGAGGAACAATCTAACTGCTTCTCCCCAGGGTGCTCAAACTGCATTAAATTCATTTTTCCTTTCTGTATCGCTTGCTTATTTCCTACATGGGTGGGTGACTGAATCCAGACAGCTGGGATACACACAGTTTTCCTAACTTGGCTGCAGGTAACATAACCCCAGTAAATCAGTATATTTGGCAAAATGAAGATTCAAACAGTGGTGTATGTGTGTGTGTGTGTGTGTGTATGTTTATGTTTACACAGCGTCAAAGAACCAATTATTGTTCTTTGCACACTCTACCTTTCATTTCATTTCAGTTGGTGAAACTTTTCACAATAAGAAAGAAGTAATTCATTTTCTTATTTTGGGGTTCCTGCCCAAAATTTCTAAGATAGCTGAAACAAAGGCTGTAGAGAAAGCACAGTCTACCAAAAGCAAGATATTTTCTACAGATTTAGTATTATTTTAGCCAAAGGCCTAGTTATGTTTCCAAAGACAAGATCTTTAAAATGCAGATAAATTTGATTTTTATAGGTTGAAATAAGGAAATGGAAGGTTAGGAAATAGATAAAAAGCTGAAATGTGAAATATAGGCCTTGGAATTTGATGAAAATGTAATTGTGCTTTTTCCAATGCAGATGTCATTGACTATAACAAGTTTTATTCATCGGTTCAAGAACTCTTTGGTTCAGAAGTGAAGACTCAAGATGTGAAATGCTTTTATAGGAAACTGTGCAACAACCCTGATGCATCTATAGACTGGTGTGAGGTAGTCACTTTTCATGTTTACAAGAAATTCAATAGTTGTCTTTGTTCAGAATAAAAAATTAAATCAAAGTATTACTTCCAGAGAAGTTAAATCTACAATATGTATGTATCATGTTTCAATATCTATAGTCACACAATATAAAGTGGGTAAACTAAGTGCCAGTTTAACTATAGTCCTGATGAGTAACTCTTAAATATTTTTAGGCCAACCAGTAAATTGGAAGAACTATAGCTGCCATTAACAACAATCAAGACTTTAATAGCCTTAATTGAAAAATTTTTTCCTTTCCATTTCTTTTTTTCTTTCCTTTCTTTCTTTCTTTTTTTTTGGCGGGGAGGGTAGGGGTGGGTGGGAGATTGAGCTCAGTCCTTTTTATTTTGTAATTTGAAAAGAGATCTTGCTAAATGCTAAGACTCCTTGAACTTGTAATCTTCCTGCCTCAATGTTTCAACACTGGGATTAAGGAATGTACCACCACACTTGGCAAAAATATTTCTTTTCAATAGCACAACTATATATAAGTGTTCAGTGTGTCTACATTCTTAATATATAAGAAGGTGATTGATTACCTCTGTCATTCCTTGAGTTTTCTGGTTGGTACAATATTAACTCTTGAAACACATGTATATAAAGTAGTTAAATAATTTATTTTTTAGAGAGAGAGAGAATATTTTTTTAATATTTATTTTTTTGGTGGACACAACATCTTTTTTTTTAAGATTGAGAGAGAGAGGGAGAGAGAGAGAATTTTTTTAATATTTATTTTTTAGTTTTCGGTGGACACAACATCTTTATTTTATTTTTATGTAGTGCTGAGGATCGAGCCCAGCGCTCCGCGCACGCCAGGCGAGCGCGCTACCGCTTGAGCCACATCCCCAGCCCTAGTAATTAAATAATTTTAAAAATTACTTCTCTTTCAAAAATCAGTAGATATAGCAGACCAAAGAAAAAGTAATAATTTAAAGAATTTGATGATCACATTTAACAAGCTGATGGATATGTATAAATGGAACTTTGAACCTAAGACATAATACTCAAACTACATATGTGACTATCACAAAATTGAACATCTGTTTGTCTAAAAAGAATACATCAACAAACTCCAATAGAACAAAATGAGAAACAAAATAAAAGATAGTCCAAATCCCAAAACCAACAAAATAAGATAAATAAAAAATTAACAATTAACTTTGGAGAAAAAAATAACAAACAAAAAAAGATGTCTACTAAGGCTTTAAGGAACACATAATTCCCATGTTATATTGATTATTTTTATAGTCTAAGAACAGCAGAAAATCTATCCAACTCAACTTTATGAGGCTAAATTAACACTGAATTGAACAAAGGAACTAAACCAATATTATTTGTGAATATAAATACTAAAGTCCTAAATAAAATGCTAACATATTGACTTCAGTTGTGCATTTAAAAATCATTTCCAAATAGAATTTACCCCAGAAAATGAAAAGGATAGTTCAATATTAGAAAAGCCACTAATATACTTCTTTTAATAGGTTAGGAGTAAAAAAAAATACAAAAATCTTAATCAGAGGTCAACAAACTAAGGCCTCAGGCCAAGTCTGGACAGCTACCAGTTTTTGCAAATAAAGTTTATTATAGCAGGGCACAGTAGTACATGCCTGTAATCCCAGCTAGTCTGGAGGCTAAAGCAGAAGGACTTCAAGTTTGAGACTGGCCTGGGCAATTTAGAGAGACCCTATCTCAAAAGAAAAAAGAAAAAAAGGCTTGGGGGTAGAGCTCCCTGGGTTCCATCCCTAGTACTTAAATATATATATACACACACATATATATTCTAGAACACAATAATACAAACTCATTTACGTATTCTCTAGAGCTGCTTCTGCCTGATAATACTAGGATTGAACAGTTCTGATAGAGACCAGATAGTATGCAAGTCAAACTGCATAGTCTTTTTCAGAAAAAGTTTGTTGACACCTGATCTTAAAGTAAAATAAGAATAAGGAAAATATTTGACAAAAGTTCAATAGCTATTCCTGCTCTTAAAAGAAAAAAGGGGCTTGGGGATATAGCTCAGTGGAGTGCTTGCCTAACATGCAGGAAGCCCTCAGTTCCATCTCCAGTACTGTGCCAAAAACGAAAACAAAAACAAAAAAACTTAACAGAATAAGACTAAGAGGACATTTCCTTAACTTGATGGTTTCTATTGCTACTGGAGCAAATTACTGAAAGTTTAGTAACTTAAAGAATTATGTCAAAAATTCCATGGATCAGGAGTTTAGGAATAGCTTAACTGAGTCTTCTGCCCAGGGTCTTGCAAGACTGTGAGGTGTTGGATTATATTCTCATTTGGAGGCTCCAACTGAGAATAATATGCTTTTAAAGCTCATTTTAAAGCTCATTCAGGTTAACAGAATTCTCGTTCTTGCTGTTATAAAACTGAGGGTCTCAGCCTTTGAATGGCTGGAGGCTGGAAGCCACCCCCTCCTCCTAAGGACTGTCTGCAGTTCCCTATCACATGGACCTTTACAGGAGCAGTTCACAACATTTCTTCCTTAAAGGCCAGCTTGAAGGCTAGCTTCTTTTATTGTAGGCTAAAACATAATCATTAGAGAAATAGTTCATTTGCCATACTTTGTTGGTTAGAAGCAAATATCAGTTTTGATCATATGAGAAAGAGAGATTATACAAAGTGTGAGTCATGTTTATGAGTAGAGGAGAGGCCCTTTTAAGAATGTGTCCACCATAGGAACTTACCAGAAGTGTATTTAAGTAAATATCATATTTAATGATGAAACACTAGTAACATTCCCATTAGAGTCAAGACCATGAAAAAGATGCTTCAACTTCAGTGTTTTGTTGAAGGTTACAATGCAAAAAGAAAGGAAAAAAAAAAAACAAGAAAAGGCTAAAAATATCCAAGAGAATCCTACAGAAAACTATTGGAAGTGAGATGAGAGCTGAAGAGAGTCCAAAGAAGATGAACATGTCAGAATCAATAACTTCCACAAACCACAATAACCACACCTCGGCTCCACTAAAACTATCAGGAAAAAAATTCCATTCAGAGGAATAACAAATAGTACAGAATATCTTGGGATAAATCTATTAAGGAGTATGTAAGACTATGAAGCCCTACTTGAAGGAGTAAGAACAGAAAAATAGAAAAGCTTAAATTGTCTCCAAATTATACATTTAATAGAATCTCAATAAAAAGCCATTTTATAGTTAATGTGGCTAGAACTAATAGATACCTCAACATACTAGTAAATCAATTTTAGTACATGTCTATTTGATAATTCCTATAAATATTTCAGTTTGCTTATAGCAATTGAAAACTATTCTCGAAAACTTCTGTGAGTACTAATAAAACTTAGATTATCTACAGATTAGTTTGGAGATTCTTCTATGGAGCATATATCTAAAACATATTCATTTTTACAAGAAATGAAAGTAAACATAGGATTTTCACTTCAATTTTTGCGTGACTATGATATCTAATTGAAATCAGAATGTGCAATATATATGAAAATATAAAATCTGGGCAAAAATAGAAATATACACAAGTCATTAGAAGGATCATGTTTCAAAGGTAATGAATTCTGATTAACAAGCTTCACTCCCTTCTCTTCCATGAGCCTGTTGCTTACATACAAATGATGTTTTACCAGAGACTGCACTATAAACATTTTAGTCCTACATTCATGACTAATTTCCTAAGATGTCTTGGATTTTGAGTTGTAGTTTTCTGAGAGGTTTTCAGTTCTGTAATAGAATTTTATACAGTGATGATCTATTTTTCTAGAACATATTAAGAGTTATTATTTATATTGCTAAAATCAGAGTGAATTATACTCAGGATACATTAAATAGAACTTCTAAGTATCTGCCAGATATTACTAAGGAAGGGAGACCTGGTATACTGAACAAAGGTTGGGCTGGAATTTAGATATGAATTCCTGCTTAGATTGTTTAGGTAAAACCAGACAATCAAAAACAGCTGAGAAAATCTGGATTTATCCTTAGTGAAGATAATATAACAAAACCTCATAAAAGCTTTCATAGGAAAGATCATCATCCTTGAGGCTGAATTCTTATACACTAGAGACCTGCACAAACCAAAGAGTTGCCATTAGTCATGTGAGGCTAACTGAACCCTGGAAATATGACTAGTCTGAATTGAAATGTTCTGTAAGTGTAAAATACATATCAGATTTCAAAAGCATATATGAAAACAATGTCTAAGTATCTCAAAAACAACTTTTTGTGTTTACCTGCCAAAATTATATTTTGCACTGGCCATGGTGGTGCACCCCTGTAATCCCAAGTGGTTCGGGAGGCTGAGGCAGGAGGCTCACATGTTCAAACCAACATCAGCAATTTAGTGAGACCCTGTCTCAAAATAAAAAATGTGGAAAAAAAAGTGCGCCAGGGTTGTTTCTCGGTAGTTAAGCATCCCTGGGTTCAATTCCTGGTACAAAAAAATGAAAAATGAAAAATAAATGTGTGTATGTGTGTGTGCATGTGTGTGTATGTATTGCATCTATTAAGTTAAATAAAATGTATTAATAAAATTGATTTCATCTCCTTCTTTTTACATTTTTAATGTGGTTACTAGAATATGTAAAGCTTTATATGTGGCTCACATTTCCTTTCTACTGGATAACATAGAAAATGTCAGAAATAGAAGTAGAATGAATTCCTCTTGATCAGAAAGGACAAATTTTTGTGGGCAAACAATTGAAAAATTTAGAGTCCTTGTCTGACCATATCTGATAGAAGGAGTCTAAAATTTTTAGTTTTTGGAATTGCCTCATTCTACATAATGACTTTTGTAAAATTCCCTTTCCTATGTAATTAATTGGACTAACTATGAAGTACTCAAAATCAGTTTTAATATAAAAAGAATAATCAAGTCACCTATGAAAGAAGACCTGTGACATTTTCTCTGAGAACACAAGCTTGAGAGAAAAGGTTAAGCTTTGCATTTTCACATATAATCAGGGAAAATGACACAATTA